CTGCTCAGTCATGAGGACTAGAGTTCAGATCCCAGCACCCACATAGGGTGGCTCACCTGTCCCAAAACTGCAACTCCAAGGGATCCTATGTCCTCCTCTGGCCTCCCGCAGCACCCATACAATTATGTGTGCACACAGACACAACACATGTGTACACATAGAATAAATCTTTCTTTTTAAAGTATAGTAAGGTGTGAAGGTAAATAATTTTACTGAAAATAAGGATACTATGTGAAAAGCTATATACAAACAGTTGTCTTCCCCACAATGAACTCCTAAAACACTATGCAGAGTCTAAAAGCCTTAAGAAATCAAACAAAGTTTGCATACAAATAGGACAGGGACTCAAAATGCTATCAGTTTTCAACAGTAACAATGTAAATAGAGATGATAGAGCAATGCCTTCAAAGTTCTCTAGGAAAATGATAGATAGACCTAAATTCTATACCCAATTAAACTATCGATCAAGTGAAGAAAGTAAAGACATTTCAGACAAAATGCAAAATCCTTACAACTGTGAATCTTTTATGAAAAGAACAATAAGGAATATATGCCAGCAAAATGAAAGAGGAAATCTGGAAAGAGAAAGACGTGAGAGCCAGAAAACCTGGACTTCAATACAGGGGAGACACAAAAGGACTTCAAGCATCATGGCGGAGCCCAAGAAGGAAGGCTGCACAAGAGCACACCAGAACAGTCTACGTGGGTTTTAGACTCCAGATGGGAACTTCACAGTTACACCAGAGTCTGAAACAGAAATGAAAGTATACAGAAAACTAAGCAAATGAAGCAACAGTGACCATTAACCCCAGGGGAAAATAAACCATCATACAGAAAGCAAAATGTAAACATAACATATAGTGTCTAGGCTTGAACAGTAGTCACACAATATGAACAATGTAAATGTTATTTTGTCCTAAATTATAATACAATTATAGAGGGAACATATGGGGAGGGCAAGACTCAGAGAAGATCTTTATTTTTGTCAGAATAAAAAACAGAGGCAAATCCTAAAGGAAACAGTTTAAATCATTTAAAACATAGTTGCAACAAAGGAAGAACAGGATAGAAACGACTCCTTTATTATAAACCTACAGTACTCTATTTTGCTTTATTTAAAAAATATATGTATTAGGGCTGGAGAGATGGCTCAGCAGTTAGGAACATTTACTGCATTTGCAGAGGTCCCAGCACCCACATCAGGCACCTTACAACCACCTATAACTCTGATTCCAGGGGATCCAGTATCCTCTTCTAGACTCTGAAGGCACCCGCACGCCTGTACATACGCCCCCCCACACCTGAATGTGTATATATAATTAAAAATAACTCTTAGGGCTAGAGAGATAGCTCAGTAGTTAAAGAGACCTTGCTGGTCTTCAAGAGGACCTGAGTTTGGATCTTAGCACCACTGTCTGGAAGCTTACAACTACCTGTTAACATATGAAGTGAAGAAATGACTACTCCAAGGAATGATTGAGGGGAAGGTTTTCATTGTAGATATGAAGGAGAGCACAGCCAGAGACATCTGGAAGAGTCCAGAGCATGGAGAGAAAGTAGACTAAACATGGTAGCAGACTGGCCTGGGCCATGAGAGGAGAGAGAGGAAGGGGGGAGAGGGAGAGAAAAGAAAGAGACTTCCAAAAGAGAGGGGATCCGGAAACCATGGCCAAAGTGGCTATATAGGAATGAGAAGCTGGGAGAAGGAAAGCCCATGAGCTAGAGGAGTTGAGAGCAGGGGTGAGGTGAGAAGGGGCCACAGGGACTGAGTGAGCATGGAAGCCAAAGTGTGCTTTGGTATGTTAATAGGCACCACAGATGGCTGTTTGTCCATTCTGACAGTGGTGAGGATTGGCTCCTTTGGTAAAGGGAAAATGGGTGGCAGAATTTAGGGAAGTGAAGTTTCCTTTGGACCTGACACTGGGAGCCAATGCTGTCTTCTGGACTCTATAGCAAATGCATGCCATAGATACACAGATAATTGCACATAAATAAAAGTAAATCTGTAAAACTGGTATCCATGACAGTGAATAAAAGTTGCAGCTTTTAATCTCTTCTCGAAGTGGGATGGTGATATGTGCCTGTAATCCTAGCACCCAGGAAGCTGAGGCAGGAAGATTGTGAGCTCAAGGCCCACTGAAGTTTATAGCAAGTTCTAAGCCAGCTTTGACTCCCTGTCTCACCACCGCCTCTCCCCCTTCCAATCCCCACCCACATTTCTAGCAGAAGGATGTAACTCAATGTTGAAGTACTAGACTAGTATTCACAAGGTCCTGAGTTGTCACCACCAGCACCAAACAGAGAAAACTTCCCTGATTCTAATCTTATTCCCAGATCCATTGTATAGAAACTGGTTTTTTAAGGCTTATTTATTTATTCATTTATCTATTTATCTTTATTTGTTTGTTTGTTCATTTATTTATTTATTTTGTAGAAAACGATGTTTATTAAGTATACTAAAAATGAATCGGTCAGACAGCAGTAGAATTGGATCTGTGAAGACAAACTACCCAGTTTTATTGGGCAGCCACTCTATTTGGCATGGTTCCTAAAATGTAACGAGAACACTTCTCAATAGGTTATGTCTGGGCTAGCCCTCTACCAGGTTCATTTATTTATTTATTTGTTTGTTTTTTCAAGACAGGGCTTCTCTGTGGCTTTGGAGGCTGCCCTGGAACTAGCTCTTGTAGACCAAGTTGATCTGGAACTCACAGAGATCCACCTGCCTCTGCCTCCTGAGTGCTAGAGTTAGATGGGTGTGCCACCACCACCCGGATATTTTATTTATTTTTAAAGATTTATTTATTATGTACACATCGTTCCTCCTGCATGTATCCCTGCAGGCTAGAAGAGGGCACCAGATCTCATTACAAATGGTTGTGAACTACCATGTGGGTGCTGGGAATTGAACTCAGAACCTCTGGAAGAGCCGCCAGAGCTCTCAACCTCTGAGCCATCTCTCCAGACCCATAAATTGGTTTAATTTTTTTAATATTGATTTTTATGTCGTTTATCTGGATGGATGTATGTGGCACCATGTCCATGCTGGCTTCTACAGAGGCAAAGAGGATGTCATATCTCATGGTACTGGAGTTATAGATGGTTGTGAGCTGTCATGCTGATACTGAGGACTGAACCTGGTTTCTCTGTAAGAGCAGCGAGTGTTCTTAACTCATAAGCCATCTCCCTAGTTTGCAATGTATTTTTTGCTTGTTTGGTTTTTAAGGTTTTGTTTTTGTTTTTGTTTTTTTTGTTTTTTGAGACAGGGTTTCTCTTTGTAACCCTGACTGTCCTGGAACTCGCTATGTAGACCAGGCTGGACTTGAATTCAAGAGATTCTCCTGCCTCTGCTTCCTGAGCGCTGGGATTAAATGCATGTGCCACTGCTGCCCAGCTGAATCGTATTTATTTTTTAAATTTATAATCCTTCTATTTTGTCTCTGAGTGTTGAAATTATGAGTATGCACCCCCATGTCCAGAGGATCAACTTATCCAGTGACCTTCAACGAGTGTAACACTAAGTCTGGTTGTATGAGTCTTTACAGTGAGATCATGGAGTTATAGCCCACTGCAATCTTTGCTATATTCCATGTACTCAGAAACATACCTTGAGTTTTATCCAGCAGATTTAAACAAGCATGCAACTCATACAAAGAGAACCAAAAAGACAGTCTGGGTCTGGGGCCATAGCTCAGAGTTAGGACATTTAACTAGCACGTTGATGGGCCCCATCCTCAGCATGCAGAGACAGAGGAAAGAGATTGAGAGAGGGAGGACTGCCAGAGGAAGCCATGTGAGGAGGGAGGAGATTTAAATGGTCAGCACCCTCCACCACTGCTACAGGAAACCCTTAAAAGAAAACTCAAGCATGTAATTTAGTGGGATACTCTCTTGCTGAGCTAAAACTAATTTCTCCTTTAAAATCTAAAATGACAGATAGTAAGCAATAATTTCGTTGTATAATTGGGTTAAATGTACATTTAATGTACTCTCTTCCTTTAATATAGCTTATCTTTGAGGTTCTGTGGAATTTTAGTTGCCATAACAACCTGAGTAAATCCTTCATTACTGTAGACATCTGCAGCTATTTATAAATGCAACAGCTGGATATGTCCAGTTAACATTTCTCTTAGAAAACATCAAATTTTCATTTATTCTGGGCAAGCCTAAGAAAACATTCAGGGAGCATTAAAACTAAAACTATTATTCTAATATTTGAATCTATAATTGAACTATAAGCTATGTAGAATAAAGAAGAGAGCTGAGGTCCATACATTTTCATTTTATTGTTTTTTATCCCTTGTCTTTGTGTGTGTATGTGTATGTGCCGTGAACACTTGTGCAGGTCAAGGAGCAATGTTAACAACGCTTTCTAACTATCAGCAATAGAAATATGCATATTTTATCTTTTATTTAAAGATTTGTTCTTATGTATATGTGTTTTGCTTTCATGTATGTATGTCTGTGCATTACTTGCATGCCTAGTGCCCAAGGAGGTCTGAAGGTGTTGGCTCCTCTGGAACTGGAGTTACTGCAGTTGTGAGCTGCCGTGCGGGTGCTGGAAGGACAGCTCTAGAGGAATTGTGAATGCTCCTGGCTGCTGATCCATTGGTCCAGCATTTTTAGTTATTTTTAATTATGCATATGTGTGCAGCTTTGTAAAGATGTGAGTGCAGGTGCCTATGGAGCTGAGAAGAGGGCATCAGATGCCCCAGAGCTGGAGTTACAGACATCTGTGAGTCACCTGACATGGGTGCTGGGAACCGAATTCAGGTCCTCTGAAAGAGCATATATAAAGATCAATACCCAAAGACATAAACACCTGGGTTTATATGAAACAATATTTAGCAGCTGTACCAGCCTGAGTTCATGAAATTGTAGCCATAACACAGATATAGTGCTGTGAACCATAAACCCAGGACTCAAGAGGCTCAGGCAGGAGGATTGAGCGCCTGAGTCCTACCTGGGTTGCATGGGGAGACTATTTCAAAAGATGAAATCTGAAGCCAATTAAGTTGACCAGGTTCCTTCCCTCATGCAGGCCTGGTATGCAAACAGCAACCTCCTTGGTGTGTAGGCAGCCTGTCACTCTGTCACTTATGGGCTACCCTAAAGGGAACATGGAGACAATTTTCTCATAACTGTTCATGTCTCTCATCTCAGTCCTGTCCCAAATCCAGGCTCCAGAAAAGTGGGCAGCGTGAAGCCTAAGGGTACATACAGTCCAGGGTTCACATTAGCCATGTCCATCCACACCAAGTTGCAGAATAAGAAATATGTAATCCAGGCTCTTTGGAGAGTCAAGTTCAAGTTTTCTGGCTGCCAGAAGATCCACACGTCAAAGAAGCAGGCTTCCCAAATTAAAGGCAGGTGACTCTGAACATGATAGCTGAGAAGCAGTCATGCCTGGTAGCTCTGGAGTCAGATATATCCCTATCCATGGTCTCCTGGACAAGGCCCCCCCCAGGACACTTCCACAGTGCTTAATTTTGCAGATACTGTACAATTTCTTTGTTTAAAAAAATCCAGACACATGGTATATGCTCGGTGCTTAGAAGCAGAGCCAGGAGGGTTGCTAAAGGTTTGCCAGCCTAGTTTATATAGAGTTCCAGGCCAGTGAAGCCTTTGTAATGAGAACCAGACAGCCAAAGAACTAATCCACAGACAAGCCAGACACCTCCTAGCAATGTTATTTTCAAATTGGGAAGATAGACTACAGATGCCAAAGGACTATCCTCCTGCATTTATATACAAAATATATCCAGTCCTAAAGCCTTTACCCTTTTCACCTGCATCTTTTAAGGGACAGTATGACAACAATACAGAGAAGCCATTCCTATGTCTGAGATCTCAATATGTGTCTTTCCTTATGTGATGTTCACATGGCATTTTCATTTTTATAATGGTTTTCCCGTAGATTAAATCTGTCCCGCAGTTTAACAGAGGTTCTTCCGTGGCAGGAACATGCCCATTTCGGCTCCTCTTACACTAAATACAATGATTCTTAGGTAAGACATGTTAAGTCTCAAATGTAATTTTATGCACATGAATGTTTTGTTTGCATGTGTATGTATGTGCACCATGTACGTATATGGTGACCTCATAGGTCAGAAAAGAGATTTGGATCCCTTGGAACTAGAGTGACATTTGGTTGTAAGCTGCCATGTGGGAGCTGGAAACCAAACCTGAACTCTCTGTAAGAACAGCAAGTGCTCTTAACTGCTGGGCCATCTCTCCAGCGTCCAAGACTAGATGCTTTAAATATTCTGCCTTGTCAAATAGATGGGACTAGAAAAAAACATCCTGAGGTAACCCAGACCCAGAAAGACAAATGTAGTTAGTATGTACTCACTCATAAGTGGATACCAGACATAAAGCTAAAGATACCCAGCCTACAATCCATAAAGTCAGAGAAGCTTGAACCCTCTTCCAGAAACAGATGGGACAGATGCAGAAATCCACAACAAACCATTGGGCTGAGCTCCTGGAGTACAATGGACGTGAGGGAGGAGAGATAATATGAACAAAGGAGTCAAGACCATGATGGGGAAACCCACAGAATCAGCTGACAAGATAGTGAGATATCACTGACTCTGGTCTGACAAATGGGGAACCTGTATAAAACCGAACTAGACTCCCTGAATATGGTGCATCTGGGGAAATATATGAGGCCACCGGCACTGAGACCAAGATGTAACACTAATGCACAAAAATGGCTTTGTGGAGCCCATTCTATATGGAGAGATACCTTGCCCAGTCCAGACACAGGGGTGTGGGGGATGGAGAGGTGCCTTGGTTCTGCCTAAATACAATGATGGGACAGACTTAGGAGACTTCCTGGGGAGGCCTTAGCCTCTCCAAGAAGCAGATGGGAGGTGGGTGGAGGGAAGTGGGAGGGGTGGGAGGAGAGGAAGGAGGGGGAACTGGGATTGGAATGTAAAAAAAATAAATAAATCTTAAAAAAAACAACATTCTGCCTTGCAGCTTAAAAGGTATTCACAATGGCTTTATAATCCCATCTTCACAGTCCATGTTTCCGTATGAATAAATGAGATACCACCGTTTCATTTTAAAAATCAGAAAACAAATCAAGCTTGGCAGAGTTTGTTTTGCCCCAGGTCAGAGAAGCAGAGCACTAACAATGCTAAGCCACTTCCCCTGACATCTTTTTTATCCTTTGCTACCTCACTGTTTCTACAAGTGACAAGGAGAGCAACTGGGCAGTGGACTTGGACAGCCTTTGGTTGTCACAGATCTGGAACAACAGAATCAATTACAATCTGTTCTTTCTGACAACAGCATGGTATATCGGACTGACACCATAATTTTAATTATCAACTATAATATAGAACTTATGTTTTCTTTTTTGAGACAGAGTTTTTCTGTGTAGCTTTGGAGCCTATCCTGGCACTCGCTCTGTAGACCAGGCTGGTCTTGAACTCACAGAGATCTGCCTACCTCTGCCTTCCAAGTGCTGGGATTAAAGGCGTGCGACACCAACACCCAGCCACATTTATGTTTCTTATACTTAAGCGCTGCCCCTACCAAGGGGGAAAAAGCACAATGAACTCCACACATTCTACTCATGGCCAGCCAGTGTTTAAACAGAAATACCCTTTTTTTCCCTAGAGTTAGGGTTTCTCTGTGTTACAGCCCTAGCTGTCCTGGAACTTGCTCTGTAGAGCAGGCTGGCCTTGAACTCACTGAAATCTGCCTGCCTCTGCCTCCTGAATACTGGGATTAAAAGTGTGCACTCCCACCTACACCCCCAGCAAAACAGAAATATCATATCTGTTGGGTACACGTTTAGGAATGGAATGTGACCATATTCTATTTGCAGAATACTTAATCCTGGTTTAAGGCCAAACTAAAAGAGCAAGAGAAGGTAGTTCCAGCATTGACAACCTTCCTGTTAGCCACAGAGCAAACACTCAGAAGATGTTCTAATTCTTAGTGAACCCCCAAAAAACCAACTTGGCAACTATATAACCCATACTGCTGTTCTCACTCTATGCTTGCCTTGTTTATCTCAGTCCATACCATGCATGACCCTTTTAGGTCTGACTGACACACACACACACACACACACACACACACACACACACACACACACACAGAGGGGGGAGACAGAGAGACAGAGAGAGAGACAGAGACAGAGAGAGAGACAGACAGAAAGAGAGAGACAGAGAGAGAGAGAGGGTCACTTATCTATCTCTCTTACTGTGTCCTTCATTCCAACGGTACTTTTCTGTAGTCCTCATCTTTAGTTGGACTCACTGTCATCTGCCAGCCTCCTTCCTGAAGCTGCTACTTCAACTCCCACTTCAAGCCACAGCTTCATCATCTCAAGCATAAAATGATCTTTTTCCCCTGCCACCTTTCAATACCTCATTATCTTGATGCATGTCAGGTAGGCACCAGGAGCTGTTTGATGGACTGAGTTCACACTAAATGGCACATGACTGGTGAATACCGTTATAATTTGAGACAGGCTGGAGAAATTGTTGAGAAAAGATCATGTTCACATGTATTTAAAGTCTGCATCATGAGTAAAGGAAATTCCTTGTGAGGCTGAGTCAGACCTAAGCAGGGGTCTTGCCGATGTAGATAAGCAGATTATCATGCTGTATGAATGACAGCTCTGAAGACCCAATGGACAGCAAAATTCTGCCATTCACATAGTTCAGCCTAGCTCCCCTCCCCCACCATTAGTTATATAATGGAGTTAGTAAACTCAGGACAACCCTTGTCCCAGTCCTACAGGCTCTCAATTAATTCCATCCATCACTGAAAAGGATTTTCAGCCATTACTCTATTTCCATCTCTCCTCACTTCTTGAGGGGAGGAAGTACCCACCTGGTCCTAACCCACCCACTATCCACCATGTTTATATCTAAATGAAAGGATACATTATTTGGTCTCAAAATAGCACCCATTGTAGAAGAGGCTTACATATAAAAACATTCATAAAGAGATAAAACAGTTTTCTTCTTTTCCTATTAAATTCTTTCCTGCTCCAGGTGATTACTAAAATGTGAAGTTTAACTGAAGGTCTATAATATTACATAGAAACCAGTCACATATAAACTGCTTCCCATTTGCACTTTAAATATCTGATCTTACCACTGGAATTGAGCCCAGAGGTAAAGGCTTCAAATTCAGTTATACTTTACTTGATAATGACAATTCTGGTATCTATTAGGTCTTTGTAGCCTGTTATTCACACAGCATGGTATCTATCTAAAATTAGCAAGACCACTGCTACCAACCTTTAGGTCTGACTCATTCCTACAAGAAATTCCTTTAGTCATAGCAGAGTTTAAAATACATAGATTCTTTTTTTCTGAGACAGGACTGGCATTCAGCTCAATGTGTAGCCAAGGATGTCCTCAGCCTCCCGATCGCTTGCCTCCACCTTCTGGGTACTGCGATTACAGATCTGTGCCACTATGCCATTTTATGTGGTACTGAGGATTGAACCCTGGTTTGATGCATGCTGGGCAAGTGCTCTATAGACTGAGCTACATCAACAGCCTTACGCATATTTTTATTATTTTTAAATATTTATTTGCATACCTCAGTAATGTATAGCACGCAGCAACTCTGTTGGACTTGCTGCAGTTTGGACATGATAATGAAATCATAATCACCTGTGCATACAGTCTATTTTGTTAACTTATTCATTGTGTTTTAGCCATTGATATGCATAAGTGGAATAATACAAATTACAAATTTGTATCCTAAAAAAAATTCTTTGCATCTTCTACAACTGAATAATAAGTAATTTGAATGGGGAAATGTGGTTAACCATTCTGAGTCATGAACTTATTTTACCAGATGAAGACTATCACCTTTTATAGTCCCACAGCAATGTTGTAGGTCAGCACCACAGCAGCCCTCCCTTACTTGCTAGAGATGGTCTAACACCCTCAGTATATGCCTGAAACCGGGGATGACACTGAACTCCACATGTGTTACTTTTCCCTGTACACACAACCCAAAAGAGATCATCTTTAGTCCCAGCCCTCCAAAGGCAGAGGAAAATCTCTATGAGTTCAAGTCCAGCCTGGTGTACAAATCAAGTTCCGGGTCAGTCAGGACTACACAGTGAGACCCTGTCTCAAACACACAA